TATATAAATTATTATTAGCAAAACACTTAAAAGTTCACGTTTTTAAATATTTTATTCACAATTATTGCTGTATTATATATACACATAGAGTATCAAAAGAAATCCAAATCTGTCCTTTAAATAAGGATATAAAATTAGAGTAGATACACTTAATGAGAAGGAGAAAACATATTGTTGAACAAACACATGGTACAAATACTAAGTTTTGTTTAGATTACAATGTTGAACAATTGCCTTGGACTTGAAGTGGTTAACTCTTAGAGATGAATTAACTGGAAAACACAGAGTCCCATTGTGACCTGTTCCAAGATTATGGCTAGCTCTAAATGGGAGATTGTTTGTAAGACATGCTATGCTACTATTGCCAAATGTTATCCAATATCCATAGTGTGCTCTGCCTCTGATGTGTTTGTAAAATAACTTTGTCTCTTGAACAATTATAATTTTGATTGGCTTTTTAAAAATCTTGTGAATCAACTATCCAACATTTTTACCCTAACAAATGTACCATTCTACAAATGGGCGAACAGGTATTTAATGATCACATTTCTCCACAATGAGAATATTTAGCATCTTTCAATAAAAACAATGTTAACAGAAAATGAAAATAGTGTCTTGCGTTAATAATTCCTTATATTGTTTTGACCCATCCATTACATCAGCCTATTCTAATCCATTTCTTACGTCATCCTATTCTGACCCATCTTTTATTTCAGCCCATAATTTCAGTCACTCTGATTTGAATCGTCTTCTTGTTGCATTGTGTATAATAATACAGTCAGTATATGAGCAATGTGGATATATCTGGTTAAGAAGTAGTTAATTGTCCTAAGACGTCATGTCTCTGACAACCCTATTCCTATAGCAGAGGAACTAAAAGGCTCCTAAAACAAGATAAGTAACCCAGCATCACCCTGCTGTATCCTTCAGCTTGGATTGAGTTAACACAGGGCGTTCCCTTCCTGCCAAGGCAATGCAGGACTGCAATGCAGAGGAAGGGGCTGAGGAAAGAGACTCAGTCAAAGACTGTCTATCTGTTATAATGTGCCAGCCAAAGCAAAGGGTATCAATGAATACAGTGACCGCATTATGAGGATATACATGGGGGAACATAAAGGACAATATCTGTTAGAGACTGTATTAGTGCAGATTGCCCAAACAGAGCACCTGAAGAGTGAATACGGAATTCGTTTTTAGATTCAAGGAAGATTAGAAGTAAATGTATAACGTGCTTATAATTGTGCTTCATCTATGTCACACGTATAATAAAAGTTAACTACCTAAAATTAAAAAAACTTGCTGCAGCTTTTTTTTTTTTATTTAAATCAGTTTTTTAATAATTTTATTTTTTTAGTTAAATACAAAAATTAAAAAAAAATAATCAATTTTGCACAGATAAGATAGATTCCTATACCGGTTATTTAAAACAACAGTTTATAGAAGCAAACTTTGCTCTGTTCTCTGTTAACACTCCTTCATTCCCTGTATTACAGAAAAGCTGTCATGTTATAAGCAAACCAGGACAGTCTCACACTACTTCACCCTTTCCTGCATTTACTGTATTTTCAAAGATACTCAACTGTTTAGGTGAGGAGGTAAGGAAATAAGGATATATTTTAGGCAAAGGGCTCCCAAACTCCGTCTCACCTATGAGAATACCCAGTCTATTTATTCACTAAAGCTATAGACTGCCATGTAACATTCTTGTCACAAAATACAGGTAAATCCTGGAGATGTTAAATAAGAGATCTAAACTCCACCGCATTCCATTGGCTCTTACATTAAAAATAAATCAATAGCACTACCTGCCCACATCCATACCGTCCGCCTAGTTATATATAGAATTTAGAAGTAGTGGGCTTTAAAAAAACTCATGCAAAGTTATTAGAATATGTTAAATAATTGTAGATTATGCTAGCTTTAGTGTACCTATAATCTTAATTTTATTAATGACAGGAGGCAAGTATTTGCTTAAGTCTCTCTTTACTAGAACTCCACAGCAGCACATAAAAACAACCAATCAGAAAAAAGTTAGGTACTATAAAACTCCCCTTCCCATTGCATCATTTCCTCTTTCAAGCTGCGACAAGACAAAACAAAATACAGAAAACACAATGGGGAAGTCCACCATCCGAGAAGAGCTGTCGAACCAGATAGTGTTGATGAACTGTAAAGTGAAACGAAAGAAAACAGGTCGAACAGGTTGGTTAGCCAATGAAATGTACTTTGAACAAGCAAGTAGGTACCCAAGCAACAACCAAAATTTTTACCGTAACCTGCATAGATCCCAACCCTACTTATGAAAAACAGACATAACAACAAGTGACAGGTAGCAGAGACAACAAGCAGAGTTGCATACATACCTGAAGGACTCAAACTATAAACTTAAACAAGGGAGGGATAAGAATGGGCGGGAAATACTCGCCTCCTGTCATTAATAAAATTAAGAGTATAGGTACACTAAAGCTAGCATAATCTACAATTTTATAACATGACAGGCTGCGTATTTGCTGTTTTAATGCTCAGCCAACAATTCCAACGCTGTTTGTTTTGCTGGTATCTATTCCGTGAGATATGAGCAATCCAAAGGGATCCTCCAACTGCGAGAAGTGACAGTAGACGGATCGATGAAGATGCCAGCTGACAAAGCATCCCAAATATGGAAAAAACACCATCCTCTGATAGATCCATTGTACGTGGGGTTGCGACCTGTTTCCTAGCAGCCGGTCCATGAGCTGCCAAGTTGCCCTATCAGCCCTTTTTCCTGTAGGTGTAAAGTGCTGAAGGTCATTTGCAGACTTAGGGCCGCGAGAAGAAACTGCCACCACGCCTCTACTCTCGATGTGGAAGGTGGTTCCTCCGATCGTGCCAGGGTCACCAGGCGATGTGACCTTGCAGGCAAACCTCCAACCTCAAAGAATGCGCCTAAGTCCACCACCAACTGCGTAATAGAACCGAGTAGGGTCTTTCGTTCCCTCATGACCTACCCGCTGAGATGTCTCATCCGAAAATAAATTATGCAGGCAAGAGTGTGGTCAAACTAGCCGTATCCTATGGGATTCCCGTATTCCCAATGGACTGTGTAATCCGCGGCTGCGGTAGAGAAAAAACTCCAAAAGGACGTCCAAACAAGGTCCCAAGTTGAACTTGTGTGGTGGAACTGTGATCGACTATTCTGGGGAAAGTGAATCCCAGAAATATTCAAAGGGATGAGAACGTAAACCGGGGTTGAGATTTTAATCCAGATATATATCGTCTAAGGGTGATAACAAAGAAGAGTCCTAAACGTGCTGTAGTGAGAGAGTGAATTAATCCGATTACCCGTTTGTACAATCCTGTTCCATGCCCGACCTGTCAAACTCGTGTAGGGGTTCCTGGTCCACACGCCACCTACAAGATCGGGTATAATATAGTGAGACCTCTAGGTCCCTGTACCCCTGACTGTTCGGGTACCTATCTCCCAGAGTAGGCCCTAGGTCAAGGAACCCAGGAATGTGAATACGAGAACCAAAATCAAGGCCTCCCTATAGAGGGATACCTCCCTTCTTAGTTTGGAGTTCCGCGAACACATAGCATTCTCTAATAAGCAGGCAAGGCATAAAGTCCCCTCACTCACGACAGGTGACTCCAGGGAGCAGATATAACGAAAGGACAAGGGTCTAGCTTCAACCGCCCGAAGCAGGTGTTGTCCCGTTTGAAAATGTCGACCATTCTGAGTTTGCTACATCTCCTGAGCAGTACTCCAGCAGTAGGTTGCGTCCCGACTTTTGACATCCGTGTAGGAGTCGGCACACAGGGTTCCTCCATAGAGTCCACCGTAGACCTCATTAAAGGTAGTTAAAAAGGTGGGTTAGGGAGAAACCAAACCAAGACGGTTCCCGTGAGGGATAAAGTGTATAGAAGGAGAGCCCTCCATATCTGAACCATGTTCTCCAGATATGTGCTCAGAAGAGTAGGGGCAGTCCCATCATCTTATCTCAAGATTGTAATGACCAGGGAACCCAAATCAGCCGGGGATTCTGGTCTTTCCATGCGCCCGGTGTACCTGCAGAGCGGGTAGTGGGCCTTCCCAGGTCTTGCTACCCGAGCAAGGCAGAGCCCGTTTGCTCTATGAAGGCCTCAGGATCTCATGTCACCTTGACATGGGAAAACTGTTCGCGCAGTTTGTTCGCGATGGTCTGAATATCTTAAACAGAGTGCAGTTGCCTGGTTGATATAGCGTAGATTATACCAAAACCTGCACTCCTGTAATACCTGAGGCTCATCCGTTAGCCATACCCTCTCCAGGAGTGTGTGTAAATAAGTGGGGAATCTCCCCCCGTAATACCACTGTGAGTGGTCCAGTAGATCCATTATAGGGGTGAAATAGAGGGGTCTAGTCGAAATATGATACCATGTAAGATCAGGCAGCCCTCTATAACGAAATTGGTAGCACAGTCGTTAGATCTAATCGAATGCAGGAGGGGCGACCCTCTAAGCAGTCATCGTTGTCCTGTACAGGTACAAGCCTGTGTGATGACTAAATAGACGGCACCGTAGTGCGTTGAGTGTATGGGAGAGCCGCACGCTCTAACAATGTGATCGAATTCCGTGTCTACGCCTGCCTGACAGCATGAGCGGGACGCACCAGTTAATAAACAAACCTTAGAGTTTACATCCGTGTCCGGTTCCCTTTATGAGAATGTGTCACTCAAAACATGTCCTCTGTATCCAGCTCGGTATCGGGCTGATGTAGAAGGAGGATCGCGCCCTCTAATGATGAGTCAGGGGAACTTTTGGAAACAATGATGGAAACTACCCACGGACTGCCCGGATCCCGTGCGCGCGCACAGGATCCAGGATGACCGTCGGCAGCCTGAGGAAAGCTGTAAACGTTCTCCGCAATCCACAAGAGCCCGGCGGAGGTCAAGTCAGGCCTCTCGACTTCCCGAGCGATATGGTAATTGGAAGGCTCGAAAACCAAGAAACGACAAATAAAGTAGAAAAAGGTAAATACGTACCTCGGAGATAAGGGGAATAACATGGAAACGTGTTCCCCTGTTGGCGTCTAAGCACTGGTCCCTGCTTGTGCGAAATTCTCTTTGGAGATGTGTCGCCGCTGGGTTGGTGCAAACCGTGGTTGCGTGCCCGGGAATCTTCATAAAGGCTTTGCCCCTCAGGGCATGAGGTGTAGGGCCTTCACCCTTCCGATCGTATTTAGGTGTCTGTATCCTGGTGTCCTCTTGGATAATATGGCAGCAGCGCTTGCCTGGACACCCACTTATCTCCATGTCAATAGTGGGCACTGAGCTTTCCTCAGTGATATTCCCCCAGGCATGTGGCCAAAAGGGGGTTCGGGCCCAGACAGAACCGGCCAACGATGGGCACAGGTAGAGCAGGCCAATCAATGGGGCACAGACATAGCAGGCCAATCAATGGGGCACAGACGTAACAGGCCAATCACTGGGGCACAGACATGACAGGCCAATCAATGGGGAGCAGACGTAGCAGGCCCATCCTGGTTTGTGTATTAAATGAGTAATGGGGACCCTAAGTTTGGGCAGAATCCCCTAAATATCTGTAGGTCCTCAGGGTCTCCTATGACATAGGACCCCTAGACACCAAGCCTTTCCGACAGTGTAATACTGTGTAAATAACCTGAACCTGGACTGGCAGTCCCTAAATGCCCAGCAGGCAAAATAGTGGTATTCCAGATGTATTGGGTATAAGCTGAAGTTGTTCCAGTGATTATAGTGTCCATAAAAGCAAGATATACTGAGCGATACCTTCTTTAAATTGTGAATTGGTAAGCACAAGCACCTACCGATCCGTGTGAGATCATCGTCATACCACCTGAAGGGTATTGTACCAATGGTCTCTTTCAGGAGTAGGGTTAAACCATAGTCAACTCAATGAATCTCCCCATAGATGCTGGTAAAATGGTATAGTATCAGTTAGGTCTGTTTAGCTTTTAATACATGCCATGGACAGCGACTTATACCAGAGTAGTCTCATCTGAGACCCATAGCTGGACCAGAATGTATATACTGTAAAGCACCTCAATCTTAGAGCTAACTAGCAAATTAGCTCTGTATACACCTTGTACAGAGCCTGTATAACCGAGTCACATATATACATGTAACTCACAGTGTTCTGAGATGTATACTGCCATTTAACCCCTTAAGGACACATGACATGTCTGACATGTCACGATTCCCTTTTATTCCAGAAGTTTGGTCCTTAAGGGGTTAAAATCCTCAGTAAACTGTGGTATAAACTGTCATAAACTCACATCAAGCTGTGATATATACACTGTATTGAAACTCAGCAATCTGTGATCTAAACTGTGATATATTCATAGACAGAAAAAAACAGTGATCAGATGAACTGTATAAATTCATTGACATAGAGAATACAGTGATTTGATGAACTGTATAAATTCATTGACATAGAGAATACAGGGATTTGATAAAAAAAACGGCATTAGATTATGGAAGACATGTAGAAATCAGCCGGTGAATCCTAGCAGGGCAACAATAGGCGAGAGCTGGTCACCGTGGGTGGAGGAGGGGCAGCGAGCAGGCGCACCCTCCTCTAGCTGGTCTGACGCCCGAGGCTCCAAGAAAGAGCCAATCGCGGGGAGGCGGCCATGATTCATGGGGAGGGGAGTTTTATAGTACCTAACTTTTTTCTGATTGGTTGTTTTTCTGTGCTGCTGTGGAGTTCTAGTAAAGAGAGACTTAAGCAAATACGAAGCCTCCTGTCATGTTATAAAATTCATAATAACGATAGGCCGTGTTGTCACAGACATCTTCAATCCTCCTCTTCAATTAATGTAAACAGCCCCACTCTCAGACAATAAAGTCCATCCAATTATGGATGGAACTCATACAAGTATGTTTGAACTTCTGCTTGTGTAAGATCTCTGGACGGGCTAGTCTGTGGGTGCCTGAGCAGCACAAGTAAATGTCAATCCATTAACTATTACTAACCATGTAATGGCACCAGGGGATATCTGGCACTATAACCACTACAGGTAGTTGTAGTAGTTATGGTGCTTAGTGTGCCTGTTCAATTCTTTCACATGACAGAATGACAAAGAATATAGTGAAATGTATTTTAATTCTGTATTGTATATTTAGATAAAACTTAGAATGAGGAGCCTAGCTTCAAAATGGGGAGAAAAGAAGGATTGTTACATTTGAGGAAATTTGGCCAATAATAATGACACTCACAGTAGCTGATGAAACTGCCTTAGAAGGTGCTGAAGTTCTGGAGAAATATTTCCAAGAAACACGGTGCTCAAGGCAGTAAGTAAATTACAGTTCTGGTTCTCCAATCTGGTAGTAATTGTCTAGCCATCATTAAAATAAAACCATAGATCCTGGAACGATGTGTATTGCGTACATTTAAGTTAACTGCTATTATTTTTTATACGTTCAGTTCTGTACCTGCACAGCACACACTGTGCTCAGAACACACAGGACTTCTCCGAAAGGATAGATTGTTTTAGTGAGGAGAGCAGATTATTTATTTACTTTTTATTCATTTATTTTACTTATTAATACGTTAAGATTTTTGTGGTATTTATGTACGAATTTTTTTTAGAGCAGCAGGCCCCACTATTCTTGGAAAATTGACCACAGTTTCAAATACTTTAATATAGATTCCAAATTAAATTAAGATCAGGACTTTGATGCTATACGATTTTGCTCTATTATTTATCTAGTATACCAAGAGCACATTTCAAGATATATCAATTACCAATACATTAATACATTAAAGGGGATTTAAATGTATAGATAGCAAACAAGAAACAGTGGTCAATGCAACAAAGGCCAATCAACCAATAATTAATTACACATACTGCAAAAACAAAAAAAGGAGAACCCTGATTTAATCTATCGTTTATAATGTTCTGTGTAAGAAGGCCTGTGAGCTTGCAATCTAAAGGGGACAATTTGCATTGAGACAAAATATAACAAAGGGAAAATATGGTTAAGCACTAAGAATGTACATTGTAAACTCTTTCGAGCAGGGTCCTCATCAACCTTCTATTCTCGTAACAATTTGTAATTGTCTCATTTATTGTTGAATTTCCCCCTCTTATAATATTGTAAAGAGCTGCGGAATAAGTTGGCACTATATAAATATCAATAATAATAATATAAAAGTCATCATAGAAAACACATTTCAGGTGTCGACACTGGATGAGTCTGTAAACTAGTTGACGTGTAATTAATGTTGATTTCACACAGAAAATGAAAGGGTGTTCCTTTAATAGTAAACAAAATAACTTCTTTTTTCTAATCACATCGTTTGCTTGAAATAAGCAGTTCATCTAAAGAGCATAGGGTTCTACGTTTTTTTTTTTTGTAATTATTGGGAGCCCTGTGTTTGGTCTCAAGACTCCTAACAAAAACCTCCTATTTATAGAACTTTCCAATTTTCCATGAATAGGTCCTTATTTATTTATTTATAAAATATTTTACCAGAAAAGATACAGTGAGATTTCTCTTGTTTTCAAGTATGTCCGGGATCCACAAATCATTGCATTGTTGCAATGCAATTCTTCATGGAAAACCTTCCGTTCCACCAATTTGAATAGTTTTTACGCTGGAACCGACCACGATTTTTCTAAAATGCATTATTTTACTACTTTATTTTTGTATTTTTCCTGTTTCTGTTTTTATTTTGGTTTTCTTACCATTAATACCAGCTGGGATGATCAGTATCGTAACCATGACAATTATCATATCAATCTGCCTTGTTTAAAATATATTATTTTGAGAAGAAAATAAAGCAGTTCTATTTATTAAGGAGTGCACTCTTTTATGTTTGAGAAACAATTTAAGGTTTTTCTTCCCACCGGTATTCCTGTGAGCTATGCTGACAAAATGTGCTACAGGGCTGGTGTAAGATTTTTTAAAGGGCGGCTTTTTGAGAATAATGCATCTTATTTCCCTTTCCCAGGTGAATGCACAGATATCAAGTAAAACACTCAGGGATGGTGATGCATGTATCAATGCAATGCACTCAAAGTTTGATCATCTGGAGCTGTGTCAATAAATCCCATGTAATTGGATCATTCGGCTACGAACACGCTAGCAGGACACAATGATGCAGTGGGGGGGTTCACAGTCTAACAGCATTATTTTATCTGTCTTATTGATGAGGCTCTTTGGTCTTGATATTCCTTCTGATCTACTAGCCAAACATTCGTGTGTCAGCACTATTAGTGCTACTCAAGCAAAGTACTAGGGTTAGATGATGGTGTACTTGGCAATTTACTTTATATTTGCAAGCTACTAGCTTCAATAATTCAAAGGTTGAACACCTATGTAATTATGAATTTCCAAAGAATACTGACCTGTGTCTCATTGTGGTTAGTTTAGCTGAATACCAATTTCTTACAAAAGCATTAACTACAAAAAAAGTCTACAGGTTAGAAGTCTCTGGGGTACTTTACTAAGACATTTTTAATCATAAATCCAGTTATTTTACCTTTATACAATAATTAAACCAATTTATTTGCTACATAAATGAAAAAAAAAAGACATTTTCCAATATTAAACAGATTAATTTTCTTTCTAATTGTAAAGGTCCTGATTTCAGAAAACAGCAGATTCCCCTATTACCCATTATAACAATCTAACCAAAACTTAAATACAATAACATTTTGTAAGAAGATTAACGCCTAGCAACCCAATACCCAAAATATAATGATACTGCTGCACTTCAATTTCTGCCATCAAGATGATAAAATATGTGATTTTAAATATTGCTTAGGACAATAGAGCCATGATCATTTTGCCTCATATGCAATTGCAAAAAATGAGTGAGACACATGATCTAGCCATAAGCCATTATTACTGACTATGCCAGATGAGCTGATAATCATATGTGATATGCACTGACAGTGATCATATGCACAGAAAAGTCACGCATTTAGTGTACTCTCTGTACACAGTCCACCCGTGCGGTCAGTTACACTGCTTAAACAGTGGTTATTGGGCACAGAGCTTGGTGTATAATGTGTATAAGAAGAAATATCCCTCTTTCATCCTCAAGCTGTCCAAACTTCCAATGATTATCTGACATTCCTTCCTAAACTTGGATAAGTCAGCTACATACTTTCTAACAAAAAGTGATATCGATCTGAGATTGGTGGTGGGCATGCCAGAAGGGAGTGGCAACCTGAGAAAGTGGAAGGCCTACCGTAAAGTGGATATCCCTCCCAAC